GCCCACCGGTCTCCGCCAGTGCCCGCGACGGCTCGTGGGCGCCCGCGGGCAGCTGAGTTGGAACTATCTGGTTTAGAAAGTACTCGCCAAGAACGGCAACAATCGAAAATCAAATTAAAACTTTTGTACCTTACAAATTTGTTGTTGGCGATAAAAACATACAAAGAAAATACGAGTTGGTATTTAGGATAATTGACGGGAAAGTAAGATTAAGTGAATAAGTTAAAAGAGATTAAGATTAAACGAAACAGCTTAATTTTCTGATATTCAATCCACCTTATTGGATCTGTGATTTAGAATTTTTCATTTTTGACATTAATTATGTAATCAGCAACTCTTAAAAGTTTTAAATAAACACTTTAACGCGAAACCGCATTATTTTTTACAATGAGATCGGTAATTTGACTTTTTCAAAAATATTAATCTTTCGACACTGCACACAGCTGACTTATGTATACACTGCTGTTTGTAAAAATTGCAAGGAATGTTCGGAATCACATAACAATGTGTAGAATAGTGTATCCATAAGAAGTTATTAAATTTGCATAGAAATGTCGCGCACGTTATCCTAGCAGCGCCGTCTTTTGTGTGACAGGTCTGATCAGTCTTACGCCACACCTAGTCGATTTAGAGTCAAACAACGTGAAAACGTGCATGCAAGTGTCAGGATGACTCGTCGACGCCAAAGAACACACTATCAGCGTCTGTGTTTGAATGTTGCCGAATGATCGATATCTGGTTAGCGGGATTGTCATAGCATAACATTCCTGAGCAAAAGGTGCGCGCTACTACGTCAGTGATGTGTGTATGGATAGAGGAGGGTCGTACACAGCGGCGATTGGGTACAGGCCACACAATGTCAATTCGGGGCGAAGTGACCGCCATCCTGTCCACATGGACGTAAACGACAGAACGGCGTCATCCACAATGTTTGTTCCACTTAGTAGCACTGCAACAGATGTGGTCATGACTACGTCGACGGTTCGACACCGTCTGCTGAGGGCTGGACTGGTAGCACGCATACCACTTCGTCGAATTCCTTTGTCCAAAAATCACGAACGCCTCAAACAGCAATGGACACTTGAACGTGTTCACTGGTGTGCTGAGTGGCAAAATGTAGTGTTCTTGGACGAGTCCCGCTTCAATTTCTGGTACAGCGATGGCTGCGTGCGTGTTCGACACTACCGTGGTGATCGCAATCTGTCAGTCTGCAGTGTTTCGTGTCATAGCGGACAAACACCAAGTGTGATAGTTTGGAGCACCATTGGCTACAATGTACGATGTTGCCTCATACGAATTGAGGACAATCTGAATAGCAACCGCTACATTAGAGGGGATTTTATTCCCAAGGTACAGCCGCTCCTGCAAGGAGCTCCGTTTGCCATATCTCAACAGGACAATGCCCGACATCATGTAGCGAGGAATGATAAGATTTCTACAAAGAATGGCGGGTACCACTGCCTCCCTAACCCGCACGTTCGCCTGAGACGTCGCCCTTCGAACATGGCTGGGATATGGCCGGTCGGCAACTTGTTCGTTCTGGCCCTCCTGCAGCCACTGTCGACATCTAGAGGCTATGATGGCAGCGCGTGGTGGCTTTACACAGTACTAAATTTTCGTGGTCAAAATGCAAGTACGATTGTGTAATTCTATTCTTTTGTATATTGTGATATTCTTAATTTGTGGAATAAGTTTCATTGTAATAGAATGTCTCCTTCTTGGTGTTGCAATTTTTACAAATGTTAGTGTATATACACAACACTGGCGTAGCGTGTGTACAGTACATCTCGCCCCTTCCAGCTTTGTCACTGTTATGAACGCCGTTCAACAACCGTCGATCAACCTGAGTGTTGGGTTGTTCAACGCCATTTTGTCCCTCCGAGTGGACTAGAGTCGATACGGAGACCTTTTTACCCGGCGTTATGCTTACTTCAATCATGTTTCAACAGCTTCCATTCTTGACAATAACCGATGCAGGAAGCAACGTGTTTTTAAAGTACCTCAATTCGTTTTCCTTACATATTTTAATTTTGTTTATAAATTATTGGTTTTTGGTCGTGAGAACACAGTAAGAGATTTAAGGGCGGTTTACACGGTGGCTATATTGGTGTGCCAGTTACTGGTTTGCCAGCACGTAGACAGCGCTGGCACTTGCAATAGCAGTTTACACAGTGCTAGTAAAGGCATGCAAGATGAGATATTTTTCTCGTTGCTCTTAGCTTATGTATGTTTTTTTGTGATGTACTGCTTATAGTATTCGGTGCGAAAGCAAATGTTCCGTAAACGTTTTATCGTATACATGTACTCTGCTTTGGAGTAGTTACACTATGTGATCAAAAGTATCCGGATACATGGCTGAAAATGACGTATCAGTTCGTGGCGCCTCCATCAGTAATGCTGGATTTCAATAGGGCGTTCGCCCATCTTTAGCTTTCATGACAGCTTCCACTCTCGCAGGCAACTCTATGCAATTTTTCAACGAGGGATGTTGCGGGTCCCTATTCATCGATGATGCGACATCGGAGAAGACAACACTATTGGATTTTAAGATGGAGTTAAACCGGGATGGAAGCTTCTTCGTTCACGAAAACCAATACGTTGCGCAGTACGGCGTTTTCAAAATTATTTTTCAAGGGATGACCGATGCGGCAGCGATGATGTAACGGTTAGCATATCGGACTGTTATACTCACGTTCGTGGTTTCAAACCCGATCGAAGCCGTGGATCTTTAAGGGCGATTAAATCGTTCGTACGCCTTCCTTCGGAGGGACAGTAAAGCCGTCTGTCCCATGTTAGAAGATTTACTGCACGTAAAAGATCCTCAAGCCCAAATGAAGCCATTGAGCTAAATTAATATTGCCTGTTTCATCGCCCAAGAAATACCTTTCTCCGCTAGTTGGTTAAAGGAAGGTAACGAAATCTGCGTGGTCAGACGGAAGAGCAAGTCTCATGGCCTGAGTCTCGCCACATGAAATAAGGCATCAATTCAATCCAATCACATTACGAGCGATAGACGAACGGCTACAAAATATTTCTCCGACAATCAACCTCCAATGGAGAAATCAACGCCAGGAAGTCGTGAAAGTATAATCACGTATTCAAAAAATAATTTCCTCTACCTCCGATCAACAGCCAGTTAAGATCGTGGAACGGGACAACAGTCGTCTCATGGCCTCTTGAGAGCGTTTACGAGAGGATTTGTCTGGGTCTTTACCTACGAGTCGGCAGGAAGAACATCCCTACTCAGACCTGATGAACTATGTACTGCCGGTGGTCAATCATACGGCGGAGATACGCCGTGAAGTGGGATCAAGTGTTCATTCAATTCACCAAGGGCTGGCCGGGCCCCTCTTTGCGTTCAGCGGGCACGCTACCTAACCTTGCTTCTTAATGCTGGCGACATGGATGTGCCGAGTACAGACTTCAGGCTAAACGTGAGATGTTATGCTCCAATCTTCCGCCCCGCTGCGTGGGAATAGCGGATCTCCTAATACTATACGACAACCTTCCAGGGAGTTACGCCCTTAATGGAAACACGGCGTTGGTGACGCCGCAATAGAGACAAACACAGAGTAATCTCGTTTTCTCTTCTGCATCTGAGAACCTTTGCAACATTTACTCCCAAACATGTCCCGGTCGTTGGCGTACTACCTACTCAGTGCACCCTGGTGCTCTCGACCTGAGTGGACCCGTGAATTTCAGAGTCCGGGTTGACCTCTCAACCCTTCATCAAAAAATGCGACCACCTGCATGAACTTGATTCATCCCTGCAAGGGCGATGGAATTATCACCTAGTTGATGTTACTATGGAGAAGAAAAAGACCAGCACCTCGCCCGTGCTGCTAAGTTTAGATAGGGATTTGACCGCGCCGGCACGTTGCCGTTACGCTAGGCAATGTGTGATTATGAAAGGACTCGATATATGGCAAGGGAATTTGGTCTATTTACAAACCGTACTCGAGAACTAATCGCTGATGTACATCTTCACGATTATCGATGTATACTCCATGTACGCGTGGGTGGAACGTCTCAATAAAAAGACGGATGAAGAAGTCGTGAAGGAATTTCACGCAAATCTTGTAGCGCTCTCGACGACAGCCCAACCTCTTACAAACAGGCGTCGGCACCAACGCCTCTTTCATCACGAAATTCCGCTTGTGCGACATTCGCGACTTTTGTACCATTTACAACACGAAGGCGACCGTCGTAGAACGCTGCAATGAACACTCATGTACCGCATGTGAAGGCCGTTTTTCTGCCGAAGAGCCACATACTGCTTCGCTTCTCCGCGACTATAACAGCAAACAACAATCGGTGTGAATTCGAAAAACATGACGTGAGTCTGGTTGAGGAATACGATTGACTCCAACGTGAAAACAGTCTTCAAACGACAATTGAAACGATTTCGCGTTTGTGACATCTTCCGTGTGAGCGCGCACAACAGTTCCCCCTTCCAGAAGGGTTGCGAACAGCGCTGAAGCGCCGAACTCTTCAATGTCGTTCGCGCACATCTTTCCAACTTCGTCATTTCGCTTATATGTTCGCAACGTATTTGCTCGTAGACTTTCACGGTAAACAGGTCGTGGGTTATTTTTATAATGAACTACTTCGCACACGATACTCCGATAAGATACGTAATACTTCTCACACGATCCTCAATATTTAGTGCACCGCGTTTTACAACAAAAGGGTCCGCACCGTCTCGTAAAATGGCTCGATATCGCCGCAATTGCAATTGCGTCTGAAGGAACACAGACGGGACATTGTATGTAACAAGGAAACGTTACTAACTAGGAAAACAATTTGGAAGTTGATGTGAACACAAAAACAAAACGCCACCGTTTCGCTCAAAGATAAACAACGCTCGTAATCCTGTTCATACTTCGATAAAGTTTCAGACTCTAGCGCACATGTCTGCACATGCGATTTGTTCATATGAAAATACATTTTTCGATATACTAATAATAGTATACATTTAAAAAGCGATTCTCTTGTTTCAGCAATCGGGTCTGGACGTTCTAAAAAAGAAGCCAAACACGAAGCAGCTCGCGTTGCACTCGAACGGCTATCGCTCAGTCAAATTGAGGATTCTCAGCCGCAAGAAGAGCCTGTTGAAATGTAAGTTCTGGATATTGTGAGTTAAATGTTTTTTTGTGATATATGAAAATTTGTATTGTCAAAACTGTTTTCACAAGTCTCACGGGATTTCTCTGACTCCCTCCCTCTCTCTGCAGTGGGGTCTTCAAACCCCACTGAAGTACACTTATATGGTACTAATTATAAAATCAAGCCCCGGAATAACTATCTGGCTCTTTCACCTCTACAAGTCCTTCAACGATTTCTAGTAGACTATAATGATAAAAAATTGTACAAATATTTCATATAATTCGCATTTTTTTATATAAAATTGCGTTTTTATTTCTAGAATATAGATAAATTAATTTAATAAAAATGAAGAGTTCTGGCATATGCGCTATACACATTCTCAATTAAAAATTTACTTTGAAGGATTGATATCTTAAAAGTAGTATTACAGTGCTTAGGGAACCCTATGATGCCAATTGAAATGAATTCCACAAGTATCAAATTAAGATTTGTATTGTAGTATTGAGTGATGTGGCTGACAATACAGACTCTTAGCCCCTTAAGCCTAGTACTCATTCTAACCATTATGGAAGAACAGTTTTGATGAATCTTTCATCCACCTTCATATAAAAGTTCTTTATGAAAACTCTTTGAAAACTGAAATTTGTACACAATCACTCATCAGAGAATAGTTTTGAACTGAAATTGTCAGATGGTAGTTTATTCTCGTAGATGTATTTCCAATTTTATTTGATACTTATATTCGAATGCGTTGGCCTTGAAAAAGGTTATTGTTGTGTTTTTACTTTTTTTCTTCCAAAACAACTGTCCATCTGTCTCAACAACATTAGCACCTACACCGTACAGACGATTTTCATTAAAAGAATGATATTCCTCACCCGATCTTGGTGATAACGCCTTCTTCGTTAGACAAATTTCTGAACTATGCTCCGTGAAGCCACGGACGTTGAGGAAATGTAGACACCACGGATTACTGAATGAGTGACCGTCCGAAAACTCCGACAAAAGGCGTTGACTGACTGCGACGTTACGAGGCCAAATACTAAACTTAACCTAGAATTGCCATCTTTACTAACTTAACAAGGCACTGAACCTCTTAAAACCTGGAATAATGGAAGCCATTCGTAAAAGAAGAATGGAATATATATATTCCATTCCAGGTTTTAAGAGGCTCTTTTAATTTTTCTTGGAAAACAATCGAGGTCATTCTTAGGCCATTTTGAATCTGATATTCTTCTCAAATGGCCATACCATTGCATATATATCACCCCCGCACTATATGGCCTACGACCACTCATATGTAACAGCTGGGACGACAGAATGAATGCTCATAATGAGCTTTGCGATCTCAGGGCAGGACCCCTGAGAAAGCTTCCCCAACGCACAGAGATAGGTGAAAATCAGAGCATATATTCTTAAACAGTCAAATCACTTTACAAGGCACTGAAAAGAAAATAATCCCATAACACATTCAAAATAATGTCAAAAATTATTTTTTTTGTTTTTAGAGTACACTCTGAAATCAATAGAATACTACTCTTCATAACTTTGAAACATGCTACGCTTTCCAAATGTACCACTTTTTCTGCAACCCATGCACGTTAATTACTTGATGCTTGGCCAGGAAATGTTTGCAAATTATTAATTAACTTAACGTGGTCAAAACATGAATCAAATGGAATTACTTCTCAATCTTCAATAAATTTCATATTGTTCTTCGTAACGTTCAACAATTTATCATAATTACTATCACGCTCAAATATTTGCAATGAATTTCCTCAGTACTTCTCACCGGAATGAAACATATTACATGGTCTACTAAGCTTTTGCAGTTCTCCTTTGCAATACTGACTACCACAACCTCTAATTTATTATTCAAATTTACCTTGATTTCTGTCACTGCTCTAGCGTGTTCACTGCGCCATCTGCCCTCAATCCCTGTTACAAATATTCTCGTTACCTTGTCAGGCGCTTGCGCTGCAGTTCTGTATGACGACCTCCGGCCATCCCGTCGTCGCCACTGCTCCCGGCCTTGGCCCAATTCCGGCCGCACCGTTGCTTTGCTCCCTCGCAGACCTGCAGGCTGTGATGTTGCTCAAAACGCAGTCTTCTCTCTCCTGCCACCAGATCCACGTCCAATCTTCTAGCATCTTGCTTCTTGGCCGCGCCCGGCATCAGAATCCTCGCCTCTTCTTTCTTCGCCGCTCTTCTTATGCGTCACGCCAACGCTTATTTTAAAGTCCTTACTTTACAACACTTTTTACTCGTGTAGCTAGCTAACTGCACATTTCTACTGACGCCTCGCAACAGCTCGAAGTTCTCGCTTTCGCAGCCACTTTTTCTCCTCGCACTAGCTACTCCACTACTTTCCACTTTCTGTGAAATATTATATTTCGCCTCGACAATCACAGTTCAGAAGACTGAATTTTCTGCTATCCTACTATTCATTCGCATGAACAATTACTTCGCATTGTACTTTCTACAAAATGACGTCTCACACTCCTCACCGATTAGCTCTCTACGCACGTCTGAACTCTTCACCGTTTCTCACCAGAAGGGTTGAACGGTCAGATGTCGGGCCTCTTCTGGAGGGATAACATTACGTCACGACCCCTAGCGACTGACACCTCCGCGCTCACGATAATCTGACAATACATCGGCGGAGCTGCAGGTAGCAGATACCAGGCCGCACTGTTTTGCACCTTCATTAGCGGCGCGCTTGTATTGCGGGGACATGTCTTGGCGCCGCCGAAGCAGTGTGGGTGGCTGGAGAGTTTGGAGCATGTCTCAAACGCCACAATATATACACACACACCGAAACTTCAAAAATAAGCTCTTAAGACAATTTTAAGCGTTTTGTCTAATAAACTTCTTGAATGCTCCGAATGCCTTGTAATAACGTATGACAATATGAATATGATTGGATTTGTCTTTTTACGTTCATGATAGACTGAAAAAATGTATAGTTCCATTTGAAAAAACAAAGTTATCTCAAATATCTCGTAAAATACAAGTGATAAAATAGAAATGAATTCACGTATCAATTAGCCACTTTTCCTCATGCACTTTCGTGAAAACTGCACTACAATAACTTCAACTGTTCAAAAGTTATAGACGGTGCTAAAGTTACGTGAAGTCACTCTATGTATAAAGGATGTATCGAAATCAAAAATCAGTTGCTTAGCGAAAAAAGATATCGATGCAAGAACAACATCGGCACGAATAAAACTGTTTATAAAATGGGTTTAGGGGTGCCGCAAACTCCATAAACATCTCTTTTTTCAGACTTTACGCTACATTTTAGATAATAAATAAATATTATTTAAGATATATTTATCAACGGAGTTTGGGCTGAGGTGGTGCCCATGTTGTCGCCCAACAATTTTATGAACCTCAAACATTACTTATTTGACTCAATGTGCCACGATTGTCCAAATACGGTCAACTTCACGTTAAAAACATAGAAATAGACACGTTTGAAATGGTTATATCTCGTAAATGTTTATCCAAAAGTACTTGTAATTTAGACAGGATTAAAGCTTGAAATCTCTGCTTTAAGAACCTTACTTCCAACAATTTTACATTACACATATTTGTGGAGACATCAAACGGGTTTGGAAGTAACTAGACTTTAAAGAACTATATATGGAATTTGGAAGCCCATGAGCTAATTTTCCCTTCTTGTTTCGGTGCGTGCAACAGTGCCCATGTTATCGCGCCCTCCTGCCTGCTCCGCGCGCCGCCAGGAGCCATTCGAAAAAACTACTAATATTTTCGAAAAATTGTACATGGACTTATTTGAAGTGTCTTTAGGAAACAGCTTTCATTAAGGGAAAACATCTCTATCATCGTTATTGTAGTTATATGAAGACGCTCAAAAATGTGCAATTTTGCAATTTCCGGGAAATCTGGGATTTTAATGAATATGAGTCCTGTGCCATTCTCTTAAGCTTTCTTTGCGCCATTCGAGGACAAAGTTTAGTCAAACAATTTGGTGCCATTTTCTAGAAAATTTTGAAAATGTTTTTGAGGCCGCATATAAAATACCCTCAAAAATAAAAATATCCGGTTGAAACTCCCAAAGTGTCAAGATCGTTCAGCTCGATCTGGGAATATCGTTTTTGTAGCGCCTAAACCGTTCAGAAGGTTATCTCCAAAATTGATATACCCTTATCTATTTGAACGAACCCGAGGCCCTCTGAGTTTCAAACCAATACTTATATTTTTCAGATACGTTGTATGAAGTTTAATATTTTCAACATTTTCTCAAAATGGTTTCAAGAAATGTCTATGTATACGCAACTACTAAGAGCTTGCATTTTAACATTTGGTAATTAACAATAATTAATATTTCATTTTCACAATTGATGTACAATTAATGTTTTATTTATAGAGTGACTCCATATAAAGATAAAATTCAGGAGAATGCAATTGGAGAACTACATGATATGTGTGCAACAAATGACATACCAATGCCTGAATACGAATTGGTAGAGGAAAAGGGAGCACCACATGAAAAAATTTTTACTTTTGTGTGCTCCGTTAGCAAACAAAAAGAAATAGGTAAGTAGTTAACTAGATTATTTGGATTTAGATTTCTGTGGTATATCTATTTACATGATACCCATTGATTGATATTTTCAACTTTACTCACATCATTTGAATATACAATTGTACTACGTAACATAATTATAATTTTTGGTGAAACTTCAGATGCAGAGCGATGATTGTATGTAATGGGATCACAAATAGCAAAAATTATTCAGATTTGTAAGTACATATTACATATTGAAAGGTGTAACAGAGACTTATATCGCTGGTTTAATGATTCTTTTGATTATCATCAGACCAATTAGGGACTTGTATCTAGACTAAAAATTAGTTATACAGCAGCATGTGTTTGTATTTTCCTGTCAAATGCTGTTGATCTTTGTGCCCCCTTGTAAGGTTGTATTGAGTAAAAACCTTTTTTCTTGAATTTTATGTTCCATTATTATAAATGACTTTTTTTTTGAAATCGGTTATCAGTAGGGAACGGAATTTATTGTAATGAAAATCGCAAAACGTACTATTTTTCGCAAATATGTACCATTTTTTCAAAAATATGAAGGAAAAAATTAAAATATGTAAAATAAAAACCATGACACTGTTAAAAATTCCCCCATACGAACATTTTCAAATTTTGAAACAAAAAAATGTCGCTAGTCAGATCTTAAAAGTAGATTCGCAGTTGAAAACGTTTTATCTTTATAGAAGTAATTGGACACTTCGCTAAAGAATATACGTTTTAAAAGTATAAAACATAATGGTAGTCATAGTCAATGATAGATCTGAGGGGGTAACATTGTGTACGTTGCATCTGAACTCCATGCCCAGGAGGTCATAGCGTTTTAATCATGACGGTAGAGATTTTCCACATTAGCTCTATCGAATTCAATCAGTCTGGACGAGATTTCAACTGGTTGGTTGCTCTGATTGGTAGTTTTTCAAGCTTTCTTCCATGAACAGGCGAATGCCTAATCAGTGCCCCAACAAATGAGCCACGAAACCTGCGAGATCTTTTGTTCCTCATCTTTGTCTCTTCTCTCCCCTGCATAGACTTGCATTCACTACACTGCAACACGATGAAAGACCAGTCTGGAGGTTAGAGCTTGTCCCGCTTGGGCAGTTCCCTTTCGGGGCGACTCTTTGAGGGGAAAGCAACACGCATGCCGAAGCGATCTCACGGTCTAGCGGAGGAGAAACACCGCCGCAACCCGCGACATTACATGCACTTCATTTACGGGAAGACTAATCTAAGTAGTAATTGGCGCGCCCGGAAACCGTAAATATCACTAACTCCAACAATGTAATTGAACTCAGCTTATCCAATCAAGTAGCACATATTGATTGCAACACATTCCAAATAAATTCCCATTAAGCATGAGATTGCGGGATTTCATAAGCAGGTACCGGAGTTTGCATCCCTGATAGAGGGTGTATTTCTCGCCGGGATGAAAGAAGTGCGATAAGTCAATGGCCTGCAAGATATGCCTGTCAGATTTTCATCGACAGGGTCTATGAATTATGAGAAGAACATGGTTGCAATTACTCCTGCTTCGCAAATATCTGTTCATCCGTAGTTCCGAGGACGCAATTTTCTAGAAGCAGGGGTTTTATAATTCACGACGACGGTATGATTTTGCTTTGTTTTGCAGAAAGACGATTCCTGGAACATTTATTTGCAAACTCGTATCTCGAAATATTCTCTTTGTACGCATAAAAATACCAAAATGGAACAAAATTTGTAAAAAGTATGCATAAATAAGCAAAATATGAAAGAAAAAAAAGAAGTAGTAGTAGTTATACTAAAAAATGTAAAAACATATAAAATAAAATGGTTTTAATTCATTCAGAATGTCATGGAAACTTTAAAACAAATTACTGAATAAAGGTATCGTCAACCTATTAAAATATATATTTACATGAAAATCCGTTCCCTAGTTATCAGTTAATTTTCTATTAGCAGGTTTATTGCATTTAATTCAGCATGGTGCTTGATAGTTGTACTGCCACATTTTCATATGTTTGGGAACTGTTTTCTGTGTATTTTGTTAAGATTTGTTGTATTGCTTGATTGATAGGAATGGCAAAATAGTGTCAATTACTCAAATTCCTCAGGCAAATACTGAGTTTTCTGCTTCTTCCGGCCACAAATTTCAGGACTTTTCTATTATCATTTCCTTGTTATAATGTTTTGCAGTAAATCATTTCACATGCATTTTATTAAAGATGTGAAATTTACCTAGAACAAATTCATATGGCAACCAGATTGATTTTGCATGTCTTATTTTATATGTGTACGCATGAATTGTTAAACATTAGTGCATTTTGGTTTTGTCATGCAAAGGTTCAATTTACTTACTTTTTCTGTCCTGTCTTTCAGGGACTGTTTTTCACCTCCTGTCAAACTTATTTCTCTAAATGTAATTTGTTTCAAATGTTGGAATATGTGAATTAAAAATTGATCAGATAACTGTGTCTGGTGTTTTTGTACCAGTGATAAGTGAGGTCTGTTTTTTGTGTAACAGTTTCAGTTAGAGAAGACAACTTCTGGTGCGTTCAAGCCATTTTGATGAATATCAAGTTTTGTAGGTCATAAGAATTTTATTGTACATGAAAACTGATATTTTTTAATCGTATTTTTTAATCGTATTTTACGAATATCGTTATGAAAATGTCTTGTCACTTCAGTTTTTAAATATACCGCATCTTTATACCGTATTTGGCAATCAATGCAAATACATGTAAAGTCGCATCAGTCTCTGAAAGGAATTATTTTATCCCCTTACTTTATCGCAAGTACGTATACAAGTATCCAACTGTTGGGGTGGAAGCTTCTGAGACAGTCGATGTCATGCGGAACTGTCCCCGCAGTGTGTGCTCGTATCTGGTTCTGGCGTATGCCTCAAATACATTTAATACAGTAGTTCTGTGGGGTTTTAAGATGAAATTTTGCCTCATGATCTGTTGAATTGGATTGGTTTGATAAAATGCAAATCATTTCACAAAAAATGTGTTCTAATCAATCCGATAACTTCTGTGGCGTTTGTGAAATATTTATATCCAAACTTACAGGCATTAGGGGGTTAATGCGTGAATTGTGTGTTCTCTGTTCTCTTGAATGGCAATTGTTTATAAAGTCTTCAAAATATATTTTCAAAGCAGTGAAATAATTCCACGGGTGAGTAATGCAAAATTAAAGGAAGGGACTTTCATTGGCCCGCAAATTATAAAACTCTTGTTGGATGAAATATTGGCAGAAAAATTGCGAGGCATTGAGTTAGCAGGTTATGCATGTATTTCTCGGGACAAAGAAATAAGATAATTATAAAACATTGGTCAAAGAAAGATTAGAAAGTTACCAAAACATGAGGTGTACAATGTCTCTGAAAATTCATTTTCTTCACTCCAATCCTTTTCCTCCGACAGAATTGAGGTGATATTAGTGATTAACACAATGAACAGTTTCATCAAGATATTGCTACAATGGAGAAGATACGCCCAAGGCGAAAGAATCCTGCAATGATGGGAGCTTAAAATTGCTGGTTTCTTGTCAGAAAGAGTAAACAGGAATAGAAGAATAGGTGACATGGCGCAAAGCATTAGGAATTTGTCCTTCCAAGATGTTTCAATATTATTATAAGAATATGCGTATTCCACTTTAAACTTATTTTTACCTCGTATGAAGCATGCTCATACAATTTTGTAGTAATATAACCGGAGTAACTGTGGAAATTTGTATAGGATTTTGTTAATTTCAAATACTAAATATGATCATATATTTTGAAACCTGCGTGATAGAAACTTTTTATAATTATTTTCAAAATCAGCCTGGTCATTTCCTTTGAAATCACTTATTTTCATTCCCTTGGTATGAAAGAAAAAAATGTTCTTTAGTGTTTTAAGGCAAAACTCAAAAAATCCAAAAAACGTAACTGTCAAGATTTGAATCTGCTTCTTAAAATGTACTCAATAAGCTGCGGGTTTTTGCATATCTACCTATTTTTTCTTCAATAGAAAACGCAATATTTTAGGTTACCTATTAATTTTGAGGCATTACGATTATTATATGAAAATTGTAATGTGCCTATAAATGCCTGTTTTGTTTAAATTTCTGAATGTCTATTTTCGTATTGATGAAAATGTAATTATCCTTAATCAAATTTTTTAATTTTTTTTGTGGGGGGAGGTTTATCTTGCAGATTTCACAGAAATCGAACTACTACGATAATCTTGTTCCGTTTTTCTGCCGACACAGTGCGGGTATTTCGTTTTATGAAACGTGAAAATTGTTGACGGTAGTTAAGTTATTTTTAATTTGAATTTTTTTTAACAATTTGCTTCTAAATAACGGCTCCAAATTTTTTCTTAACACTTTTCTGCTCGTATATATCAAAGGACGATATAAAAATTGGTACCGATTCCATTTTTCGCGAACTTTGTATTTTCGAAAATTTAGAATATTTGCTTTTTGATTTATTTAGATTCTGACTACGGATTTCGTCGACGAATTGGATTTAAAAAATCACTATTTTATCAACGCACATTTGGTTACACGTGACCTTTTATCAGTTATTAAAAGTGCCAACGAAATTCTAGTCCCTGCGCTATTAGTATAGAACTGACTCCTTCCGTATATTTTTATAAACTGTCGGCTTTTTAAATATTTATTTCAGAAATTTGTATTAATTTGAGAGAAATATTACCTCCATTAAACTTTGATAATCGTTTGGGAAAATCCAGAATGTTCATAAACACAGTCCCAAAAATGTTAGAAATTTTTCTCGGAGTGGAGGAACATTCAGCACTAAGTTAACCAGAATTTGATATAATTCAAGATAGTATTAATTTTTAATGTATTAATTGTCATAAATATAAGATTATTTAAAAATATATATAAATATTGCACTTTTTATCATATTTTTTAAAATGTTTGTAGTTTCCTGCCCATAATTCAAATTTTGAAGGTTGAATTTCAAGTCACGCACTTAAAATGTTACTTGCTATCCCCAATGATTTTAAGGTTAAAATTTGTTGTGAAACATATCTGAAAACAGTGAATGAAGACTAAGCCTGTTTTGCTTTGAGCAGGTATGATCCAGATCACGGGAAGGGGCAGGTGAAGAGGGTGATGTGAGTGAAGAGTTTGTCGCAGAATGCAGTCAAGGGAGATGTCCCAGAAACAGTGTTACAATTCTTTCAGTTTTCGCTCGGGGTCTCGAACAGCTGGGTTGCGTTTTAAACTTATCACCCAGTATTTTCAATATCATTTGCTTGACAAGTTTTTAAAAAAACATTTGATGCCATTTCTTGCAATACAATTGAGATACGACTTAGCCCTGGTAGCAGAAGAAAACAGTTGATTTTGTGACCTACGTAATATTTGAGCTTAGCTTTTACAGAAATAAAGTTTTGAAGATGGCTCAGCTTTTACACAAATAAAATATTGAAAATTTACAAAATTTTAGTGGTTCATACATATTATGATGCTTTGGTTGGACAACATGTTCACACTATGCAAGCAAGTAATTGACAACTTATTCAGAGCTATGTCCTTCAGTGGGTTGTTTGTACTATTGCAAGAATATGGAAAATCTTAAGACTTGTGAGTTGCGAATTACGATGGGCGGAACCAGTAACCTACTATTGACGTGAAATAACGATCTATCTTTTCTTGCTTCAAAGCAGAAATCTACTTTTGTCCTCTTTTGTTCCGAGAGTGATATAATTTTACATTCCTAATTTTTGACAGTAACAGTAAAGACAGTGACAGTAACAGTAAAGCATCTATCTACAAAGGCTTACTCTTCTGGTCCCTTTTGCCCCAGTCCACTATCGGACACGACTTATCGTGAAAATATCACTTTGTTTTAGAGTAAAAAAGAACATCTCACTGTGAGAAATTGTACCTGCGTAAACCAAAAACGTTTTTAAACCATTATAGGCTGAGGAAACCTCCAATGACGAATGATCACGACGTTTTAAAGGAAAATCTAATGTGTTTTATCCATAAGCTCGCGGCTTGTAGCAGCATGCCGCTTGCCACCCAGAGGCGACGGTGCTGCCCTCCGAATAGACATTTCCTTGCGTATAGACTCGGTTGTTTAGGTGTATTTTGCGAATTGTAAACAAACACAAAATAATAATAAAAAAGTATCTTTAAATACATCTAATTCCCATTCTCTTTGTACTTTTGAAAGTACGATTTTTGTTTCTCGTTCACCATTTTTTAATGTTCAAAAACTAGGAACAAAACTAATGATTAAACCTGAGGGACACTGAATTGTATTTCCCGCCGAGTTACTAGAAACCAATACAAATGTTTGAAAACACATTTATCACTATAGTGTAGATGGCATTCGTGAATAATATGTTCAAAATTGTGAGGAGCTTAAGATCATGTCAATATAGTTTATAAGTATATTTTTTTAAGCACAAACACATTTTAATACATAAATAAGAATCCCCTAAACTTTCTCTCCAAATAATTAAATCCCTCAAAGAGCCTTAAAAGAAAATCTTAAAAAATCCACCAAATCTAAAGAGAAATCCACGAATCTGGCAAAATTGGCTTCAGTTTGAAACAATCATTTTGATTCTTGGGAGTACTTTACGTAAAGCCTTTGCATTTTCAAAATTTTCGCAAAAGTGGTTCTAATTTTTGTTGTTAAATTTTGTCTTCAATAGAACAAAAGATGCTTAAAGTATTCACATTTTCGTAACAAATCTTTTCGAAAATTGCAAAAGTTAGAAACTTTTTTTCGACCTCTTCCTACAACTACAATATTCATGATAGAGATTTCTTTCCATAATGAAATCTGTTTTTTAAATTTTATTTCATGTAATTATTGTAAGTATTTGAAATTTGGGTACTTTAAGTCATTGAATTCATACCTAAATTAATTATGTGTAATTAGTCTTCAAATATTAGTACTGAACTATATGAAACAATGTTTGTTTTTTATTTCCCCTATAATTGAATATAAATAATGTTCAAATTTCTCTATAGTAAAACCCCACTCATATCTAAATTTCCATGAGCATCCTTGGTGTTTGAAATTTTAAGATATATTTAAACTTTCCAGGATTCTTCCTGTCTTATTGATTCTGGTTTGAAAGTTTTCTACATAACCGCATTCAATTTAAGATCTTTAAATGTGGTCAAGCACTAGTGTTACCACAATTGCTGAATATTAACACGAAAAGAATGAGGGTTTGGTTATTCGTGCTTTCTCCATCTTTTAACTTATTGTATATAGATATAAATCATCATCACATGAGTCGGAAGTGATTCAGAATTCTTTGATTTAATTTCAGTAGAGTCAGAGAAAATTGATGCTGATATGTATGGAAAATCAAGAAAGTGAGGAAAACTTATTACCGAAATTTAGTGTCCATCCTGCCTAAAGTTTGAGAAAGTTTGTTTTTTTTTTTTTTTTCCATCTGCTTCACATAACTCACGTCTCACTTCACTTGTGTTCAAATCCTTTATTTTGAATTGATAATTTATTATATGCCTTGAAATGAAAATTACCAGAGTTTTACAGAGGATGCAATTATTTTTATGAGCCCACTATTTCTTTACCAGGAAAGTTGGTTCCATTTCCTTGATATGAACCATGTTCTTAAGCACAATATAATGAAATGCTTTATGTGTACATTTATTTAAAAACTTTTAATGGATTACTGCAATGGGTAAAACCATTTGATGATTTTCACCATTTTGTGATGAAAAGTGTATTGTATGGATATGTATTATGTATTTTAGCAAACAATTGAAAAGTACTTACTGCACCCCAAATCAAGAGGGCCACATCTTCGAAAAATTGAAAATTGAGATACACCCATTGTTAGATCCCTCGTTTTTATTACATGATATCCAACAATGCCATTTTTTAGTTCCATGAGTAGCCAAGTAATAGCAATTAAATTCCTGTTGTTATATGCCCTTGAGGAAACTTCCAAAGGCTCTCCTGCAAAATGGAAGTTTTTGGAGTTGTGGTCCTGTTGCATTAGGGGTGCGTTATAAGTTAATAGTTTTTTCCCATTATTTTTTGCTCTATTAGGTATTGGGCGCACCAAGAAGCAAGCCAAACAACTCGCTGCTTATAGTATGATGAATAGACTTAAGGAATCTCTTGCTGATGTGTTAACAGAACTTAAAGAAGAACGACATGTGAGTTTTTACAAAATTTTTGTTTTTTGTTTGTTTTTTTTAATGTTTTTTAAGATTTTTTCACAAAACAAATAAGTTTTAGTAAACTGTGCATGTCATGTTTTGCAGTGGGAGAATCGGTCTTGTACACATTGTGTTACTCCGTGCAAGTGCCTTTTTAATAGGACATGAAAAAAAATTCAAAAGAGAAAGGAAACATGTATAAATGCTTACATATATGTGTATACACCTAGTAATGCACCTCATCCTTCTAATTGGTTGATCTAACAAACTTTTTCTTGTGTGTATAATAGGTTTTCAAAGACCTATGTAGTCCTTCGAATGTGAACAGTTTGAAAACTAAGATTTTAAGTCTGCGATGGGTAAAATTTATTTTAAATCGAACATAGTATTTCTTAATATCTGTTTATAAGAAAAGTTAGAATTTCTGTTATATCATATTATTTTCCTATATTTTTGAGAACTTTAGTACTTGAAGGGTTTCTGAATATGAAGATATTTAATGAGAGGTATGATCAGAAACAGGATACGAAAATTGAGAGAAGTGGTGATGAACAGACTACAACATGGAAAAAGAAGGAAACTGCTTTAGTGAATGTTTAAGAAAAGTCGAAAAATATAATCACCCAATGAGCTATTCTTAGTGTTAACAGCTGCTAGAATACATTATATGATTACATTATTATATACAACATTCAGGAAATTATGTTTTTCTTCACTTCTTTTTCTTCCACAATATTAGAGATTTTATTGTTTTCTAATTTTCTGAATGTGACACCTTTCAAAATCCATAAATATTAATTTTTATGTGCTGAAGCATTGCAAGTAGTTGTTTTGCAACAATTTATGACCGGCTGCCTGTCGAAGCGCGCTGCCGCTATCTGCATATATCGTCAGGGTTCCAGTTGCCTTGGAGAACATCGAGCAGGGTGTTATTAAAAAGGGTGTATACATGGCGGGTTCGGAAAGACGAGAAGCTCGTACAAATGTGTAAATAATCCAGATACCCGGATCCCAATAATTTGGACTACCCGTATCATTTCATCCGCTGAATGTTTGTGCTTTATTTCAATAATAAAAACGTTTCTCCCGTGGTGAAAATTTAAGGTTATCAGAATGTAAAAGTAAACACTTGGTTGTAATTTAAATTTGTTTTCGAAATTAAACCATCAAACACAATTAAAAATAACAATATCATTCATAAAAGTTTTGGGAATAGCTGGTAGAAAGGTCAGTTGATCAACACAATTGAAGCGTATCGTTGAGTAAATATGTTAAATATTTGTGCGTGAGAGGATGGACGAACCGATTAACACCGAATCTTGTGAATTGGCAACACACTTTGCGGTAGAAAGAGAGAGTCTTATGTTAAATTGTATCGGATAGAAAGAGAGGGCAATACTCCATAACGTTCCGTACTGCAATCTGATGTTTGGATACACAATAGGCGATGCACAATAGGTGTCGCGGGTAAATCGATTCGTTGAAGTTGGCAAACTCGACTCAGCCGAGTGCACTCTGCAGCACACGTGTTTTTCACTGTGTTCACTATTCACCACGACGTAAGAAATATTTTTTACATTATGCTATTCACCTCAATGTTTTGTGTTATTCGGGACAATAATCTGCTTGAAAATTAAAGAGAACATTGTGTTGTTAAATATTATTAATGTATTCAAAGAATTAGTTGATGTTCTTAGTGTAGTGGTAATCAGAAATAGATATAATTCCCTAGGGTATGAGTTAATAAAATAAATTATTATTAAATAATTTATCTTTCAATACTTAAAGGAAATGGTTAAAAGTCTGTCCTATGCGACTTATTCCACTCCTTAATAGTTCTGTCAGTAGAGGGAAAAATTCCAAAATCTGTTTCCTGAGCCCTTAACTGTATTTTGTATATGAGATCCGATTAAATAAAATATATGGATGTACCAAGACGGCTGGAGATTTCTTTGTATGCTGGATTATCTTCCAAGGCTTTATATAGGACACAGTCGGGTTTTAACCCTCCTGATTTCTAATGACTGCATTTTACTTTCTTCCTCTTTGTCTGGAAATTAAAATGACACCCTCTTTTTCTGTATTCTATTTAGTTTTTTCCGTTGTAAATTTCTGTAAGGGTCACAGCAAATCAATCCGTATTGGAAGTACTGGAATGCTTAAGACAGTCATTTAATTCTTCTGACGTAATTGGATATTCTTCGTACATTCTCTTCACAAATAATTAAATGAAATGTATTCTGCTGAGGAAAAGGAAGTCGTTACATCACTTAAAGAATCGTTCATTACTGTTTCATTCAGCTCACACGGTCGTCGTAGCGACACCTAGTGAACACATTTCTAACTACTTGATTCATTGATTATTCCTTCAGGTCGCGTACAATCCCTGGAGATCCTCCGGATTTTCATAGCAAGAAGGTCAGGGTTTTGCCATCCCTTATTCTTCTCCCTGCCTTTTTCAGTTCCCTGTCGTTCAGTGTCCAACTTTCGCATCCATAGAGTACCACAGGGAATACCATCGTCTGTATCATTTTGATGTTTGTGTTCATGGATATTCCTGAGCTTTACATTACCTTCTTGAGCTTCCCCATTGCTCTGTTGTGTAGAATTATCTTTCTTTTTATTTCCTTCATACCAGATCCGTCATTGGTAATGAGTAACCCAAGAAAATTGTAACTATCCACCATATAAATTACTTCATCTATTATCATGTTCTCTTGTTCCCTGTACACATTAATTTCGTTTTCTTTAATTTAAGAGCTGCTTTTTCACTTTCCATCTTCATTATTCATTCATGTCAGTTTTGTTTTTCGCCAAAAGTGTCGTATCATCAGCGTACCTGAGATTATTCAATACTCTACCTCCAATCTTTATCCCCACGTGTAATTCACCTAGACCCTCTTCTCGTATTACGAATTCGCTGATTAAGTTGAATAAAGCTGGAGACAGAATGCATTCCTTTTGTACTCCCTTCTGTAATAGAAACCAATCCGTCGTACTTTGCTCCGTTTGTACCTTAGCGTCTTGGCCTGTGTATATCTCCTTAAACATATCTATCCGGTGTGGAGGTATTCCCATCTGTCTTAAAACTTGTCACATCTTCGTGTTAACTCTATCGAAGTTTTTTTTCGTAGTCTATGAAAAATAGATCTATCACCTTACTGTGCTCTTTTGTCTTTTCCAGAATCCAGCGAATGTTTGCTAACTGATCCCTTGTACCTGTTTTTCCTGAATCCAGCTTGTTCTTTCGTCATTTCCCTTTCCACGTGTTCTAATCTCTTTTGCAGAATTCCTAGAAATATTTTGCTAGCGTGCGATATTAAAGATTGTTCTATACTTGTTGCATTCTCCGTTAACACCTTTTTTGGATACTGCCGAGGTTTCCTTTGGTTCTTATTCTGAACGCTGCATGTTGTTCCGCCACCTTCCGAAACGAAAGGGCCTCACATAGATCCCCATTGGCCAGAATGCTCACTGCTTCTGAGTAGGCAAACAGTTTGCCTAGTTTAAAAGATTTCTTTGTTCTGAAAGTGCTTAATTCTTTGCAAACCACGTCATCTTTATACAATTTTCATCCAGGAATTTGACTGTCCTTTCTTTCAGTGTTGCGGTCTACATTACGTATGTACTTCCACATTAACTTAAGCGTTACTAAAGCGTAATAAGCGTTACTGAAAATGCGAAATTTAAAGCTCTTTTCCGCAGAAATCTTTTGAGTTTTCGAGAAGATCCAAACGTTTTGTACGGATAGTGCTAGATTCTCTGTTTAATATGATAAAATGATTTTGGGGTATTTGTTTTTTTGAAAAATTACACACATGTAATTTTTTGAAATATCTCTCACGCAGTTAATAAGCACGTTTCCAGCAATTTGTAAACACTATTGCATTTCTAAGTTTAGGTGCTTTAAATTACTTCAAATGAAGGTTTTTGATGACTCAAAAATTTTAGGTGAAAAATAGCTTCAAATTTAGCACTTGCGGTAAAGCTTAAAAAAGCCATTTTCTGTAAAACTGCTCCAATTTTTTTAATGAAAATGGCCAAGAACGAAGTCTTACTGTTCTTTAATTAGTAGTTCAAAGTAATATTTCGGTATCTACACACACACACACACACACACACACACA